TGGGGCAAAAATAGGGTGAATAAATATATCTGCATGCTGAATATAACAAACTACGCAAGATTTATCACAACTGTTTTCTCAAATATTTTTATTTGTAAAAAAAAAAAAAAGCATAAACCCACACTTTCAAAACATTGCCATCTTCAGAGGTATGGACTTAGTTGGAGAAATAAACAGGTATTTAAAGAAAAGTGGTGGAAAAGAACTTGGAGAAGTACAGAAGAAGACTTGGAATGGATTAGAAAAGTTTTCTCAGTTTCCGATTTTCCTTTTCCTTCATAAGTTTTAGATAATTGCTCCTGTATTTAATGAAAAGTTAGGAAACTATTCCTGTTGGACCTGTGCTAACTTCAGCTTCCTTGATCTTACATTTGTTTTACAAACTTCCATCAGAATCACATGCAAACCTAAAGGCATCTCTTGAATAAATGCATAAATGAAAAATATGTATGAATGGAATCTGACTTGCAAAATAAATATCAATGGAGCTTTGCTTTCAAAGGGTGTAGAAATGCAACTTTGCTTGATAGACAGTTTTCCGTAACTAATTTGGCTTGGAGAGGTTCTTTTTTTCACTAATGTACACTTGAGGTTTGCACACATTCTTCCAGCATACTTGGTGCGAGGAAGAAGGTCAATAAACTATCTTGCAAAATTCTGGGAAGTGCAAATACCAAAAGGTAACCGCATTCCAGTTTGTGTATTGATCTGGAAAATGCAAAGTTGCCTGTTTCTGAGCAGAAAGAAAATCCTTCTCATTCTTTGGTTTGCGGACACGCCCTTCTGCAAGGTCTCTCTCTTGCTTTCAAAACGGCCATTTGGTCGTCGAGCAATATTTCTTCCCCGTGCTTGAAATTTTCACATTTTTGGACAGTGTTTTGGGGGCTGGGGTGGTGGCCGTACGGACAAGGCTGGGCTGAGATCCCTTGCCCAAGGAAAGCCAGGACGTTTTGGATAGAGATGACCGGGAGCCCTTGCACAAATTAGTTTGGGAGGTTTTCGTTAGAAAGGAGTGGACACCCCGCTTCAGGAAAGAACGTGAAACCGTCAGGGCGCTGAAGCGTGGGACCTTGGTTGCAATTAGCCGTGGACCTTTTGTGGCCCGTGGCTGGGTCACCTTTGCTCCAGACTGTGGAGGGTCCTCGGTCATGGGGAGATAGGAATCTGCGGCTCTGCTTCTCTGTGCACCCTTCAATGGATATTGATCGGGTCCTTTGCTCACCCGGGGTAGCTCTTCCTTGCTTGAGCAAAGCAAGGGATCCTGAGATGCGTAGAACACTGGTCCTTTGCAGGCGCGTCGTAATGGGATCTGGGCTGAGCTCGGGTGCAGATCTTTGGAGGAGTAAAGCACTGGACCTTTCGTCACCCGAAGCACGCGTTCAGGAATCACACACGGCAACGAACCCTTGTTAATGGGGCCATGAGGCCCTTTCGTCATGCCGTCATATGGAACTGTAGTCTGCAAAGGATACTGATAGCTGTCTACATATGGCCTCACCGGATTCCTGGTGGTTCTTAGTTTGGGGGACTTGCTAGAACATGCTTCAGAGACTCTGGGGATGATCCATGGCTGATACCCAGCTACACTGGCCAGCGAGTACGGTGTCATCCAAATTCCACGGCGATGGAACGGGATGCTCCTGGAGGACACATACCTTGACCCGTAGAGTGGAAAATATTGGGATCCATATCTTGGTAGCCTTTTTTTAACGAACAGTGGCAACGGTGGACCTATCGGCTTACAGTGATAGGCATAATATGGCATTTTTTCTCGGGCATAGCGATACCTGTAGGAAGGAAGAATGGACCGTTTAGGCCTAGACCTTCTGCCCCCTGGTTTCACTGATGCATTTAATAAGTCAGCAATAACCATTCATTCATTCATCTTTGTCCTGCTTCCATATCTTTAGGGATAGATTTTAAATATTTGTAAAATGCTTTTCAGGTGACACAAACCTTCCTGAGCAAATAAAGGGAAAAAGTAGAAAACAATATCACAATCTCTAAAAACAAGTATTATTTTGAAATACACCTGGAATGCTACAAACCAAAAATGCTACAATCCATTTTTAAAAAATGCTACTTAAGTAGTCAGACATTCTCAAACTCTACCTTAAGAGAGCTTGATCAACAGCTAATAGTTGGATTCACACAACATGCTAACACTTGATTAGTCTTCACCCTTGTTAATCTTGTGTGAATCCAGTCCTTTGGTAAGCTTATTGGCCAATGGATTGGGGAAATCCCTCCCAAAAGGGTTAATTCAGTAACCAAGTAAAGGGTGCCATGGGAATTCAGACTTTGTAAATCAGAATCGGGGGCAGCTACAGAAATGTCCCCCTTTGTTGCAACTACCAGCCTGATTTTCTGGAAAGTAGACTCCCCCTTCCCCCAAAATTATCTCCATAACCAGTTTTAAAATAAAAGACAGGAACATGTAAAGGTGGTCAGTCCAAACCTCCTAAGAGTGAGAATCAGGCTGAGAATCAGACTGGAACCTAGTGTGGTTGACACAATATCAGGGTCTTGCTTTCGATCTACAGCAGCTTCTAGAATTCTTTCTTAATGGCTTCTTAGCTTTTCCACGAGCAATTACTTAACTGAAGTTCTCACATTCCTCTTTAACTGCCTGATTTTGAAGCCTGACTTTGTGTACTTTCAAAGTATTTGAGCTTCAGGGAAGCTCAGGCAGAACATTGTTAAGGATGAACAGGCCAAGTCGGAAAAGGTGGAAGAGAATCTAGGGACTTCTTCTTACCGGTGAGAAAACTGCAAGGAGGGACTCCGAATTCCATGGTCCATATGCTCCAGAGCCGCGGCCAAATCTGTACATTTTAAAAGGAAGTAGCAAAAGTAGCCTTGAATATAGAAAAGCATCATTATTTTCCTGATCCTAAATGAAGATCTAATGTCCCATTTCCCCACCAGTATTTGGGAAGCATCACATATTTCCTGCTAAGAAGCAGACCTCCATGTAGAACAATACTAAGAGAATTAATATGATATTGAAGAGACAATAACACTAAGGCTGGGTTCTGTTAAACCCTAAACCTCACTTAACAAGGCATGGTTCTTGTGTTCAGGGAACTTTCAATGCCTAAATCTTGTTTGGCTTAACATTATGCTCTGATTCACATCACACACTAAGGTAAAGCCAGGTTCCCACAAGATACTGATCCACAAACTCTACAATTCCAGTTTAACCTAATTTCTTGCGGCTGTGTGAACCCACCTTTCATACATGGCTGTGCAAAGCCCAGCCTTTTGAAAATATTTCGCTGACACAGATCCCCGAGCTAGCCAACATTAGTGGTTGAGCAAGTACAAGAAGAAAAAAAGAGGGAGGCATTGGAATCAAAGCAGCACAATCAAGAGATTCTTATTCTGTGATCCAAAGGGAGTAGATCTCAGGACAGGAATCTAGAATCTTTGTTTTAGAAATTTCTAAACTGCTGAATTCCCAGAGATTAGAGTCTGGCAATGGAAATGGCTTGAAAGCGTTCCTTGTCAATTGATCAAGATGGATGAACTACAAGCCCCATCATTTCTGGCCTTGGTTGGCCAAAGGTGAGTCACCACCACCGTGCCATCCTGCCTTATTCTCTCCAGATCTCAGAATCTCTGGGAATCTCAGAGAGGCTACATAATAATGCAATTATAAATTGTGCACCACATCTCTTCCAAATGTGATTAGTTTCGTAAAATGTTGGGGGAGTCCTGTATTTTTTTTTAAAACTGACGGTTTCTGATCTAGGATGCAGACAAACCTTTCCAATTTTGCTCCAGTTGTGCAGCCACACACTTCAAGAAGGAGGGGAAAAGTGTGTTATCCAAAACAGTTTGGCCCGGCTCCAAACTTCCAGCCCCATTATTATTCCCACTGAATTTTTAAAAATGAGATGGAGCAAACGTGCCTCAACCGTCGTCCCCCAATAAATCAATCCTGCCAGTTCTGTCAAAACATTTGCAACCTTGGCTGTGTGTTTTTTTTTCCTCCAGCCACCCATTCCTCCCCTCTGCAAAATGAAAAAGGCTTCTAGGGGTCCCCTGGTTTAGAAAGCTCGCTTCTCAGGAATTCTGCTCCCACCTAAGGTTGGCTGCACGAATCCTGCGGGGAACGCGGAGAGGGGAAAAGCAGACTTACCTGCCTCCCTGATGCTAGACGTTTAGAGATCCCTTGGTTCAAGGAGTGGGAGAGAGAAGAGCATTTTAAGTAGTTTAAATATTCCCCCAAGGGACATGAAGCATCACGGCTGGGAGAACGTCACTGGGCAGCCTGCCAAACTCACCATCCCAAATTTGCTTGACTCTTCCGAGGAAATCCTCCGCCCTCCCGTCTTTGAGCCCGTCAATTGGCTGTCCGATCCAACCCCTTTTCACATTGCTCTGCAGCTGCAAGGAGGGATTGCCCTAAATGGAAGACGGGCCAGACGTTTGCTCACTTGCCAAGGTCCCAACTGCGTCTCCCAAAGGAGACACTCACAAGGGGGAATTGCCCTGGAGACTTAGGCCGCCTTTAGCTGGTATAATTGCATGGGCCGAGGAACAGCAGAGGGAGGAAATGCAACTAGAACATGGTTGTTGTTGTTAGGACCGTGATTATGGCTTTGCACCATAGAGATATACTGCCTCTTAATGAGAAAACCCAGGGAGACTTTTTTTTTTATTGGAAAGCTGTATCATCAAATGATGGTGGTCCTGAAATTCTATTTTCTTCACAACTCACCATAAAGGAACAATTAAGAAATTGTCTTTCTTTTTCCTTTTTCTCCTCTTTTCTTTTCTTTTCTTTTCCTTTCCTTTCTGTTTTCCTTCCTTCCTTCCTTCCTTCCTTCCTTCCTTCCTTCCTTCCT